GTTCGCGAGAACACTATCGCATTCGCGAGAACACTATTGCGATCGCGAAGAGTTGCCAGAAGTGGACTTACGCGATCGCGAAGGGTAAGCCTCCCCGACCTTCGCGTTCGCGCACAGCATTAATCGTTCGCGTAGAAGAAAAGACAAGTCCCCAGCCCACCTCCATTTTATACTACGCGTTCGCGTCACACAGGTCGCGTTTACAATGAGCAACCCCCCAGCGCTTCGCGTTCGCGAAGAACAAATCCACTCATGTCCCAATTTCCCTTTCGCGATCACGTGAAAGGCTTCGCGATCGCGAGCACAAAATGTCTGTGCATCAGAAGCAGCATTTCTGCAACTTTTCCTAAGTGTAAAAACCTTCCGAAACCTATCCGAAACTCACCCGAGCCCTCGGGGCTCCAAACCAAACATGTATGCTAACTCAAAAACATCATATGGACTTACTCGTGCGATCAAATCGCCAAATTAACACCTTTAACAACGAATTTAGCATCAAAATCAAAGAAGAATCTCAAGAACTCTTAAGTTCAAATTTTAACAACCGAGGGTCCGATTCACGTCATATCAAGTCTGTTTCTTACCAAATTTTACAGGATCAACCTAAATACCATTAAGACCTGTACCGGGCTCCGAAACCAAAATACGGGCCAGATACCATCAATTTCAAATACATCTAAATTTCCAAAAACTCTTACAATTTCAGTTAAACAATTTTCTTCAAAAATTCATTTCTCGGGCTTGGGACCTCGGAATTCGATTCCGGGCATACGCCCAAGTCCCATATTTTTCTACGGACCCTCCAGGACCGTCAAATCACGGGTTTGGGTCCGTTTACCCAAAATGTTGACCGAAGTCAACTTAAATTTAATTTTAAATTTCAAATCAGCATTTTAATCAAATTTTCACATAAAAGCGTTCCGAATATATGCTCGGACCACGCACGCAAATTGAGGTGAGATAAAAGGAGGCTTTTAAGGCCTAGGAACACAGAATTGACTCAAAAATCAAGTGATGACCTTTTGGGTCATCACATCCTCTACCTCTAAAATAACTGTTCATACTTGAATGGACATAGAAAAGAAGTACCTGAGTCGGGGAAAAGAACTCGGACTCCCAGGTAGCTGCCTTGGCAGGCTGACCTCTCCAATGAACACGAACTGAAGGGAACTTCTTCGATCTCAACTGACGAACCTGTCGGTCTAGAATAGCTACCGGCTCCTCCTCATAGGCCAGATCCTTGTCCAACTGGACAGTGCTGAAGTCTAACACGTGGGATGGATCGCCGTGATACTTCCGAAGCATGGACACATGAAACACTGGGTGCACGGTTGATAAACTCGGCTGCAACGCAAGTCTGTAAGCCACCTCTCCGACTCGATCAAGAATCTCAAAAGGACCAATGAACCTAGGGCTTAGCTTGCCCTTCTTCCCAAATCTCATCACGCCCTTCATGGGCGACACCCGGAGCAACACTCGCTCTCCGACCATGAATGCCACATCACAAACCTTGTGGTCGACATAACTCTTCTGCCTGGGTTGAGCTGTACGAAGCCTATCCGGAATGATCTTCACCTTGTCCAAGGCATCCTGCACTAGATCCGTACCCAGAAATCGGGCCTCTCCCGGCTCAAACCATCCAACCGGTGACTGATACCGCCTACCATATAAAGCCTCATAGGGAGCCATCTGGATGCTTGACTGGTAGCTATTATTAGGGGTGTTCAAAACCGAACCGAAACCGAAAACTGAACCGTAAAAGTGGCTTAATGGCTTATTGGTATCGGGTTATCGGCTTAATGGATGGGGAACGGATTGAAATTTTATTATTAACGACTTATCGGTTTGGGGACGGATTATTCAATTTTCTTATTGGATAAACTGTTAACCCGTTAAGAATAGCTTTACATTGCTGGAGAGTAGATCATTGGTGCGAATTTCATAATGATCACGGGCATAAAACTTCAGAATGTAGATTCTTACAAAGTGAAGTGGATCATCTATTGAAACAAGGTTATCTCACTGAGTTGTTTAGTGAGAAAGGAAAGCAGGCCTACATGAAAAACAGGCAAGAGCCGCCAAAACCCCCGTCACCCAAGAGAACCGTGAATGTTATAAGTGGGGGAGAAGATATTTATGGAGTAACATACACAGCTTCAAATAAAGTCTCCAAAGTCACAATTACGCACGGGAAATGAGTGCGTCAAACCTTAGAGGATGAAAGTATCACTTTTGATGATGCAGACACAGAAGGAGTGGTCACCCCCCACAACGACGCGCTGGTAATATCTTTACTTGTACATGATACTAATATAAAAAGAGTTTTGATTGATCCAGGAAGTTCTGCAAACATCATCTTATTAAGGGTACTACGTGAAATGCAAGCGGAGGATAAGATGATTCCAAAGGCGCATATTCTAACAGGATTCGATAATTCTAGTGTTGTAACTAAAGGAGAGGTAATTCTAACAACTTTTGCAGAGGGTGTTGTGAAAGATACCAAATTTCAGGTAGTAGATATGGAGATGGCATATAATGTAATCACGGGGAGATCGTGGATTCATGATATGGACGATGTCCCGTCAACTCTACATCAAGTAATGAAATTCCCATCACCATGGGGAATCTGTCAAATTCGAGGGGAACAACATACAGCTAGGAGTATTAATATGGTAACAGATACGAGTGCTGTAAATAAAGTTGAAGAAGACATAGACCAAACCACAACGGCACGAGGAAAGACAGATAAAGACTTGAGACCTGATATGATTCAAGAGCCTGAAGAGAATGAAAACATCAAAACAACAATTGAGGAGCTCGAGCCTGTGATACTATTTGAACAATGGCCTGAACGAAAGGTTTATGTGGGAACCAACTTAAGCTCAGATACGCAAGGTATGTTAATTGAATTTTTAAAAGCTAACGTGGATTGTTTTGCTTGGTCCCATGCTGATATGACAGGAATACCACCGGATGTAATGACTCACAAACTAAATGAAGACCCATCTTACATACCCGTTAAACAAAAGAAAAGAAAGCAAGGAGCTTTCAAAAACCAGGTGATTCAAGAGGAGGTCCAAAAGCTATTAAAAATTGGGTCAATTCGTGAGGTAAAGTATCCTGATTGGTTGGCTAATACGGTCGTCGTACCTAAGAAAAACGGTAAATGGCGGGTTTGTGTAGATTATACCGATCTTAACAAAGCCTGTCCAAAAGATTCCTTCCCTCTACCTCATATAGATCAGTTAATTGATGCAACTGTAGGGCATGAACTTTTAAATTTCTTAGATGCATATTCGGGGTACAACCAAATAAAAATGGACCCCGGTGATGAAAACAAAACTTCTTTCATCACAGACAGGGGGACTTACTGTTACAAAGTAATGCCCTTTGGTCTCAAGAATGCTGGAGCAACCTATCAAAGGTTGGTCACTAAAATGTTCCAAGAACATTTAGGAAAAACTATGGAGGTATATATAGACGATATGCTCGTCAAGACCCAACATTCTAATGATCATATTTCTCATTTATCTGTCACATTTGGAATTTTGCAAAAATTTAATATGAAACTCAACCCAGAAAAATGTGCATTTGGAGTTGCCTCAGGTAAATTTTTGGGTTTTCTTGTTTCTAACCGTGGCATTGAAGTGAATCCTTCTCAGATCAAAGCAATAGAAGAAATTCCTGATATCCTTACAAGTAAGAAAGAGGTTCAAAGATTAACAAGAAGAATTGCGGCTTTGGGGAGGTTTATTTTCAAATCTTCGGAGAAGTGCTTTAAATTTTTCGCAGCACTCAAAAAACAAGATCATTTTGAATGGAACGAAGATTGTCAGCTGGCTCTCCAAAATTTGAAAGCTTATTTGTCAAACCCGCCGCTGCTAGCAAAACCGAAGGAGGGTGAAAAGTTGCTCATTTATTTGGCTGTATCAGAAGTTGCGGTAAGTGCTGTCTTAGTTCGAGAGGACCAAGGTAAACAATCTCCTATTTATTATGTAAGTAAATCTCTGTTAGATGCTGAAACACGATACCCGCAACTAGAAAAGTTAGCTTTGGCTTTGATCATGGCATCTAGAAAATTGAGACCTTATTTCCAATCCCATCCTATTGTCGTGGTTACTGCTTTTCCATTACGAAACATTTTGCATAAACATGAGTTATCAGGAAGGTTAGCAAAATGGGCCATAGAGTTAAGCGAATATGAAATCAGTTACCAATCTAGAACTGCAATAAAATCTCAAGTATTAGCCGATTTCATAGCTGATTTTAGTCAGGGAATGCATTCAGAAGCAGAAAAAGAGTTACAGTTTTTAATGGTGCAAATCCGGGGACTTGGATTTTAGTTTGCTGATGGTTCTTCTAATGTAAAAGTGCAGGTCTAGGGATCGTACTCGTACCTTCACTGGTCGAAGTCTATTNGTACTTAGTTCTTGGAAGGATCAAAAACATTTTGCCTGTGTTTAGCCTGAACCTCTGCCCTTTTCGCAATATCCATTGCAAGATAGCTCATGTCAACACCTTCCTGCTGCAGTTGCAGTTAGAGGCAAAAATATAAAATTTGGAGACCAGAAAGAAAAAAAAAGGACTACTAAAAAAGGAATAAACTATTCAGGAGTGTTATAGCCCATTTAATCAAGAAACACAATTTTTTGCCTTAAGTTAATTTCATGTCCACAGCTTTCCTAGCCCACCAACAAACATAGCCTTATTCCCTCATCAATGCTTCAACAGAGTTCTTTCTTCACAACTTGTATATGTACCTGAATGACTCAAAACTGTTTTTATCTTTCCTCAATTCATACTGTACTTCAGTAGGATGTTAATACTCATGCTCGTGATCCATCAAAGTGGAACAACACAATTTGAACAATTAGCAATTGAGTGTATTTACCTGTAACTTACCAACTCCAGCTGCTTCTAGCAATAGGTAGGTTCCTGCTTGAAGTGGATTGCCTATTGAGTCAGGCAGTTCTACGATTCCCCTGCAAATAGCTTTGCTCCTTAGATGTTCCAAGATGTGTCCATAATTAATAACCTGAGAGCAGTTGTTTAGGTTTTGACTTTCAGCACATCTTGAGCTCATTATCATCAACAACTCCAGAATCGATTGTGGTTCCTCGAAGCAAGAGAAACCTAATTCGGAGCAGAAGAGATAGGTACCGAATGGCATGTAACAGGTCGGAGTAGTCAAGGTAGCAGCGGAGGCATTATGGTCTGACTCTGAGATCAGAAAACCTGGAATTGGATCTTTGTCTGAGACCACGTGCAAGAAGCACGAACTCCAGGCGGAACGCTCTGATATGGCCTTTTGAAAGCCATTGTTACCGAGAAGTGGAGAGCCAAAAGTAATGCAGAGGAGACGCTGCACACCATATCTGGGAAGGCTATCAAGCAGCCACAAAGTGAATAGAGACGCAACAGATCCTCCCAGAGAATGTCCAGTTACAATTAGAGGCTGGTGGCTGGTGAACTACATCGAAGCAAAGAAAGCAAAAACGCCAAAATCAGTTACACGTTTAAGAGATAATCCAGCCGACAGTTTTACACTTCATTTGAAAATACAAACTGAAGAGGAATCATTGTTATCTTTCCTCCGTATCTGGTGTTTGGTTTCTACTATTATTGATCCTCCCTGCTAAAGAAGGGATAATTAAACTTTCGCTACTTGTCTATTGAACACATTAGCGATCCCATTTGCAAGCTGAACAGCATGTACCCATACGCTAATATGGGTATAAACTCAAAAAAGTGATCCACTGCTATGGTCTAAACGTGATCCATGGACCAAAACCAAGAGATATATTTTTGTTTATTTCCTGTCTAATTAACAGTTCCCTAATTATCCATCCGTTCTAATCTCATTAAACTGTCTCCTCATACAAAACCAAACCTTTTGAAAACCATACCATTTAAATGATTCCTCAATAACTTTAATCTGTATATTCTCTACATTAACACAAATTAGATGATCAACTAAAGATTACATTTTCAATCGACTCCAATTGACTAACAAATTGTTCCATTTTGGGAACACAGAGAATATATATATTCAAAATTTCAAAACGCTAACACGCAATATACATGAAAGAAGAAGGGGAAATTATAAACAATTTAAGGCAGTGTACCTGGTGTTTGAGAAGAGAGAGCTCATTCTCAAGAGAAGCAAAAAGGGTAAAAGCAGCTTTATGAAGGGAAACGGAACTGTTACTTTTAGTGCAGAGAAAATCAAAGGACGTAATTGCATCAGAAGAAACAAGCTCTCTAAACTCTTCTTCTTGCAAGTGATTTACAGCACAATTGGGTGAGCATACAAAAGCGATAATAGAACCCTTTGTTGGTGGATAGTCATAAACTTGGTATTTAGCAGAGAAAG